GAAACAAACTTCATAACTAACTTATTTACATGATGTTCATTCGAATTCATTATCAGTTTTATGCTTTCTGGAGATGATTTCTTGTCAAAGTCGGGTAGTATTCGATTGATTTGATTAATAAAAGCCTGTCTCTGTACTGAGTATTTATTACATTGAAAGTGGAAATGAATCTCATCTTCCACCTGATTTGAGTTACACAAGGGACATAATCTATTTTCTCTTGGCAAAAGATCGATTTGGTATCGACCATGTTCAATCATAAGTTTGTGATTACTTATTTTAAATTGAACGAAATTCTGTCGTTCGTCATAATGTCTTAGCTGGTAGAGATAATCAGATGTAGAATATTCATCTTTAAAAGTTTTATAAAATTCTAGTTTTTATGAATTTTCAAGGCTGTGCCGCCAAAAAGATATATATATCTCTCTCATTTCTGTGGTATATCGTCTTATTTTATCATTATCTAGAGATTCAGCATCTAAACTTGATGTCAATGATGTTTTTGGGCGTTTCTGGAATATCATAATTTATGTTTTTTTTTTTCGGATTAATTAATTATCAGCTTCCATTTGTCACAATACAACGAAAGCGCATTTAAACAGTTCTGTAATCCAGTTTTCGATCTTGATAGAATAACTAAATCATCTGCGTTTGGAAGAACAAATGGGTCAGATAAGGTGTTTTCGAATAAATGTGGTAGAGGTTAAATAAAAGAGGGCTTAAAATACAGCCTTGACGTACACCTCTGGTATATGAAAAAGGCTGTGTTTTGTTTTCACCGATTTTGATGGAACATGTCGAGTTGCAATAAAGGCTTTTCATGAGCCTTTCCTCCTATATTCGTTTTTACCAGCTTATAAAACAATCCTTCGTGCCAAACAGAGTCAAACGAAGTAGTAGTAGTAGTAGTAGTAGTAGTAGTAGTAGTAGTAGTAGTAGTAGTAGTAGTAGTAGTAGTAGTAGTAGTAGTAGTAGTAGTAGTAGTAGTAGTAGTAGTATTCCTCGATTTTAATTTTTCGCCTCTTATTGCCTTTAAGCCCTAGGGGGCTTTTCTTAAATGAGCTCCTAAACAGTGCTCCTTAACTTCCTTTCTAGGCCCTTGCAATCTTCAGTATGAAGCATCAAATCATTCGCTTGAAAATTAAGTGCTTGATAGGGGTCCCCTGTATAATATTCCCAAGACTTTGCCCTTTATAGCGAAAAAGTTTGCTCACCGGCTAGGGCCAAATGATTCCAAACACCTGTCTGTTTCCGACCATTGGCCTCGGTAGCATTAATGGCCTGATACGGTACAGGAGCTGATTTGTGCATAACCGCATAAATAGACTTCTTAACAGTGCCTGCGTGCGTGGAATCCTTAAAAGATAATTAAGTACGTCCATGTTCCAACCACTGTAAATACAATGAATCAACAAAGTCTCATAAAAGATCACTAAAATACGCGAAGTCATTGTACTACTATCAGCAGAATCGGATTTCATTTTTCGTTTCACATTGAATGATCCAAGCGAGGGAAAAACCAAAAGCCCTATTTTGCACAAGAAATTAGTGAAACTCTGATTGGTTCTGGCAGTTGTCGCAGTGGTGGTGTTTATGACGGTAGTAGTACTGGTCTTGGTAGTGGTGGTGGTAGTGGTAGCGTTACAGTGTACTTGTAGTAGTGGCAGTGTACTGTAGTGTATTGTAATGTAGTGTAATGTACAGCTGTAGTAGTGTAACATAGCAAGAAGTAATTAGTGCATAATAGTGCGACGTATTCTTGACTAATACGTCATTATTTCACTGGTTAAGTAATAAAAATCACCCTAGTAGTAATAGTACAGGTCTTATCAGTTTATGCATGATATGATGTAACCATTGACTATGTGCAAATTTAGGTAGTAATGTAATTCCTTTTCTTCTAGTTTTGTTGCGTTGTTAAAGTTTGTGGTGTTGAAGGTTCCAGTTCGTCCTCAGTTCCTAATTTGCACCGTTTTGGAGCAAACAAAGGACAATTTGCAGTAAATTTGCGTATAGCTTGGTAGCCTGGTTAGTATCAGACACCCCCAGCTAAGAATCCTGGATCAGCCCTTGTAGTAGCAGTCGGTAGTGTAGTAGCTGCTCGGAAGGTTCTTTCCTGATTCGTTCTTTTAAACAGTAGTAGTAGTAGTAGTAGTAGTAGTAGTAGTAGTAGTAGTAGTAGTAGTAGTAGTAGTAGTAGTAGTAGTAGTAGTAGTAGTAGTAGTAGTAGTAGTAGTAGTAGTAGTAGTAGTAGTAGTAGTAGTAGTAGTAGTAGTAGTAGTAGTAGTAGTAGTAGTAGTAGTAGTAGTAGTAGTAGTAGTAGTAGTAGTAGTAGTAGTAGTAGTAGTAGTAGTAGTAGTAGTAGTAGTAGTAGTAGTAGTAGTAGTAGTAGTAGTAGTAGTAGTAGTAGTAGTAGTAGTAGTAGTAGTAGTAGTAGTAGTAGTAGTAGTAGTAGTAGTAGTAGTAGTAGTAGTAGTAGTAGTAGTAGTAGTAGTAGTAGTAGTAGTAGTAGTAGTAGTAGTAGTAGTAGTAGTAGTAGTAGTAGTAGTAGTAGTAGTAGTAGTAGTAGTAGTAGTAGTAGTAGTAGTAGTAGTAGTAGTAGTAGTAGTAGTAGTAGTAGTAGTAGTAGTAGTAGTAGTAGTAGTAGTAGTAGTAGTAGTAGTAGTAGTAGTAGTAGTAGTAGTAGTAGTAGTAGTAGTAGTAGTAGTAGTAGTAGTAGTAGTAGTAGTAGTAGTAGTAGTAGTAGTAGTAGTAGTAGTAGTAGTAGTAGTAGTAGTAGTAGTAGTAGTAGTAGTAGTAGTAGTAGTAGTAGTAGTAG